TCCAATCCACACTGGAAGTGAGACTCCAATTGTTCAGTGTCAGCCTTCAGATCCCCTTTGGTTTGGTGGAATCCCCAAGATGAAATCGACCTCAACATTGCTTCCCTTTTGGACAAGTGAGCTAAGGCAAAGTAGCCGGCAACAAATTGGGCTTTCCGCAACAGGAGACCAACAGGCTACACTTCTTTTATGGTGTTTTTCTTTGAATTGGACACCAATAATTTTAGGGGACCCCTATGTTGAGAAAGAAGCATCTTCTGACTGCCAGGATTTGCCAACAAAAAAGAGGGCACCAGGCGTTTTACCATTGTTCAGAGACAAGCCCATATGGGTGTCTCTCAAAATAGGGGGGCTCAACAAAACCGGCTTCGCTAGATGTTTCCCCTGGTTTCCCTTTAAAATCACTCCAACAAATTGTTCCCCCATCAAAAGAGAGACCCCCCCAAAAGGTACCAATCGCACCTCCCCCAAAAAGCCGGGATTCCCATCGCCCAGACGGGCCCCTGATTTTGCCCCCCCCCCCCTTCAGTGTTGTTGGCTCTTGGGCATAGGTGTCCTTTTTGGTTTGGTCGAAAAACAGATGTGGTTGAACCACCTCTCAGGGAACCCATCTATTTCCCCGAACAGGACGCCTCTCTCGGGTTCTCGGCACCTCCCCCCACAAGAAAAATCTGGATCGAAGACGTGGAGCTGGGGATCGCGAGGACTTCCATGCCGCGGTGACCTTCCACGAGTTCACCTTGGTCCGACCTTCCCGCGGGGTTTCGGTGGATTTGTTGGCTCGAAACGGGAAGCCCAGAGGGGTTTCCCATCTACCCTCCAGAAGAACCACAGGTTTAAATCCCCAAACCACCAACCTTGCCTGAAAGATTGGGCGTGGATTTTGTTTGTCGAAAACCGGGAAACGTGCAAAGACGGGGTGCGGAGTCTTGTTGGGTTGGAGTTGTCCCAATTGGGCTGTGTCAACCTTGGGCTTCGGTTTTGTCCTTTTGGCCCCTTGAAAGCCCAAAAGAGAAACAGGGAACCGGACTATCCGCCACATCCTTGGGTTTCGTAAGGAGTCGTCCTTGTGGTGTTGCACTCCTGGGATTATGGAGGGGTCAAGGCACCATTTCGAACCGCCCAGTTTCAAGGGGACCCTTTTGGTGGATTTATCAAAGGGCACTCTTTGTTATTTGGGGATGCCAGTTGAGTACTAAACCAGAGGGCACACAG